CGAGAGTTCTGACGCAGCAAGTAACGCAAACCGCTTTTTGCTCTTTACAGAGCGAATGCGGTATCCATCGGGAAAACAACTTTTTTACACCTAATTGTTCATGCAAGATTATTTGTATTTGACTCATGCCAATGTCTAAAGTTGCCTGAAATTCGCAGTATGTCACATGTCGATCTTCCTCAATCAGCTTACGCACAGCATCAACGTTTTCTTGGGTGACTGCAGTTTTTGGACGACCTTGACGGGGATCATCACTGAGCTTGACACGTCCACGTTGAAATTCATTAAACCAGCGATGAATTGTGGTTTTGGATGGGGCTTCATCACCAAATGCAGATATCATCCGTTCAACACACTGTTTTTGTGATAATGGTTTATCGAATCCAAATCTTCGAAAGTCATAATAAATCATCGCTCTTGAATTTTCTCGAGTCAATTCCATTTTCTCAACGGCTAAACAAGTTTGTCAAAACTTTGTGAAAAGACCGAGAATCTTTTTTAATAAAAATTAATGCTATTCGATTTAAAAAAAAAGGAGTTTTCAATTAAAAAGATTTAAATATGACAAGAACAGTGGTATTATTCCATTCCCGATACTTTTAGTGCAGCCTATGTAGATATTATTTCATCACGACTTTTAGTTGTCGGGTACAGTGTGTAAAATAAATACATTTTGTCAAGTGTCGGGCATAGATATTTGTTTATAAGGATATTGTTTTTCTTTTGTTTCTGGCACAATTGTTTTTCTTTTATGGCGCGGAGTTTGACTTGCTGTTTAGTTAGATCGTATCTATATCGAATTACATAATGAATAATTGAATAAAAGTTCATCTGAAATGTAATGTTTGGCAATGAAAATGTTCCAGAAGGCTTAAGGTGTGTTACACCTTAAGTTATATCATAAGAAATAACTGCTTAAATGGGGTATAAAGCAAAAGGAGTCGAGATGTGATTGAAGATTTGCATCGCTGTGGACCAACCAGATCGACGGTACCGACTACAGTTTACATCGCAAATAAAATCATTTGCAATTTTCTATATCTAAGTGAATATTTCATCACTTTCTTCGATGATTTTTGAAGTAGCCCAGTTTGCCTAGTGATTTGTAGATTATTGGTTTTTAAAACAAGACTATTTAATATGTTATCTATTACCGTAGGAGTAAAACATTAATGCACACATAAAAGCCATTGGCGCACAGCCGTGATTCGAACGCACGATCTCAGGGTTGAGAGACACACGCTTTAGCCACTAGGCCATCACTGCTTGATCCCCATAGTCCTTTTTATGTGTCGACGAATTCCAAACTGAAGAATTTGTTCTTAGACAGTTTAGCAAAGTGCTTAATGTATAGCACACAATATATAAAGTTTATAAGCTGCGTTGTATAAACTGTACTAAGCTTCATTGCTCGGTTTTAAGGTGTTTTTAAATCTTGATAACTATCCGATATGTTGCTTGAGCACAGATCACAGCTGGAAAAAATTGCTGCAAGATTGTCAAATATGCGACTAACATAAATAGCACGAAAGGCAACGCGGGTAGCGCCGGGAAGCGGGGCTCACCCAAAAATATTATGAGGATATTTCCAAAGTAATCAAAAAATCTTGATAAATACAAGAGCAAATGTAGATGTATGCTAATCAGAGACACTTTCAATTATCGTTAATGTTTCATGTATTATTTATAAGTTTTACTTTTAAACGAGTTTAAAATTCCGTAATTCTTAGGTTTTGAGAGAATTTTTCTGCGTGGTTTAACGTTCTTTTTGGTAGGTATCTGCTGTGCGAAATCAATCAAGAATCAAACAACAACCAACCAACTCCTCGTTACTGAAAATTCATTACATGGAAATATTTTATGTTTAGTTAAATCATAAATGTAGAAAACTTACCTTGAGTTATTTTATAAATAACCAAGCTAAAGTGGGGTGTATTTATAAAGTTACTCCACAGATTCGTTTATTATTTTTATAAATAATGGGGTAAGTCTAAGCACTGTATAATGTTTCTAAATAAATAGAAAAGTGTAATTTCAAGTGAAATCATAAAGGTTTTTTATTTTATAAATTGTATATTTTTATTTTTAGTGTGCGTTTTTAGCGTTGTTGATAGACTGTGATCTAATTTAAAACAACTATAATTTTATGAAGATTTTCGGTGAATACACTTTCATATTTGTAAGTATATAGTTATTGAATAATTATTATTAATGAATCTGTCATAACGCATAAGTAGGGAAGAGCGGGGCTGGTTGAGCATAGGGGCAAGTTGGGCAATCGAAATATCTCGCAAACTATTCACCATACGCGGGGGTATCAAATAGCAAAAAGAAGGAGTCGTGGGAGGGGTAATCATCGCGCGATCGCTAGTGGCAGCTCGATGAGTGAGTAAAGTGTCCCGGCGTTTTGTTTATTTTGTGACCAATAAGTAAAAACATTGTTTATCGCAAGTTTTCGTCTGTCTTTGTCAAATGTTCTCTGTTTTCAACCAGAACAGTGTTAATCTTCCAGAAAATTATTGTATTTTTGATTTGTGAATAGGTTTTGGGCCTAATTCTAGCATTTTTTTACAACCTCACTTTTGTTTTACAATTCCGGGTTGGCGTAAGTTGAGCAACTAACCCCACGACTTTAAACAACTGAAGTAATGAATCTTTTATTTTTTGTTTGGATGCGGACCTACAAGAGGAAGACTACAAGATGTTCTTACACTACTGAAAACTTAAATAATGCTGCAAAGGCTGTCCACGATGAGGAAAAAAGTGTGAATACCGTCGCTTAAAAATTCGGAGTTGGTTGACTTTTGAATAAATTAAATGAAGGTGATGATTCATGTATGGGCTATATAACACCGAGGGAAGTATTTTCTCCCACACAGGAGGACTGTTAGAAAAAAATACTTGCTACAAATGGCATCATTCTCAAAAAGACGTCCGTCGCCGTGCCTACGAGTGTCCTGCTAAATTTGGCATTGAAATTTCATCCAGCTAAATTGCAAATAAGTTGGCCGGAAAATTATGGTTTATGATGTTTCAAAAAAAAAAGAAACCCACCAGCCTTGGTAGGGCAACATCAATTTAATGCGCAGGATGGTAAAGTCTTTTTTAGAAACTATCGGAAGTAATGGATAGATATGGATGCTCATGTTTTGTTGATTCTAGTTTCGGTTAATTATACAAAGAAAATTTCTTTGCGTTTGTCAAACACATATTTTACTTCATCTCAAGTTAACATAGAACCCATGGTTTGGCCTAGGCATTCTTAGTGCTCAACTTGCCTCATACCCTCGCTCAACTTACCTCACCCATGGGGTAAATTGAGCATACTTAAACATCTGTAGCTATTATATTGGACTTGTTACAAAAATACACTATAGACACTTTTGTTAAGGGATAAATTACTAATCCATCAAGATGCATAACAACTCATTGAGACTTATCATTGAGGAGCTATATCCAACTAAGTGAAAAATTGCTCAACTAGCCCCGCCCTACCCTACTTCAAACATAATTTGAACATCTATAATGAAATATATTATGTTCCCCGTTTCTTGCACAAAAATACTATATTGACTCATTTAAAGCTACGAACAAAATATGAATACATTAAAATTAAAAGTTTGGATCATTATGATGGTTTAAAGTAGACTAAATGTCTTAATATGTAAATTTTAAAACTAAACTTAAATCATCATTTATCGTTTAAAACTCCGTATTCGGCAACTAGTCGAGACAGTAGCATAACGTGACGGAACAATTAATCTTCTAATCGATTTAATCCGTTTTTAAACTGGTTTTAAAGATTTGTGACATTCCTTGAAATGCCTTCAACTAGAAGTACGTGTTTTAGGTAAAATGTATTCTAAATTTTTTATTCAAAAACTTTCCGTAAAATTGAAAATAATATCGAAAGAATCATAACAAATTGCCTTTGCTAAATAATTAAGACGCTTTCTCAATTTTATCTTTTGATTTATTTGTGCTGTTATGTTGTATACATTTCGATATCAAACATAATGACATGTATAAATTACACAACGGAATTTCATGGGCCATTGACTCTATACAAAAGTTCATACTTCCAGAACATTTTTCGCCTCCCGCGACATAGTCTCCGTAAATTCCTCTGCAGTGACACTCCTGTCAGACTTGTTTAAAACATATATTACCCAAGAATATATAAGAGCAAATTGGATGAATTGGTTCGCTATATCAATCTAAACGTCAAATTAGTTTAGTGTATTTAAAATAATTATATAGTGTTAATGATGATCTGACATTTGAATATGTGTTTTTTAATGTTTTATGCGAAATGTCACAAATGCAAATGCTAAGATAAAATCGGTGATGTCCGGATCTGTCTTTTATGTAAGTGAATATTAAACAAGGATACCATAAAAGGATAATCGTCATATTAATAGTGACTGGTGACGGCTAACAGGATGTGGAATCATCCTTTTAATTTGTTTATATAAATGTTAATTGCTTGGCTGTCAGAATCGCAATCGCGGAGATAATTTTACTGCATTTTATGGTGGGCGGTTTATTATGCGCAGGCGAGATGTTACCCTTAATCCAATCATGAGAAATAAACCGCTTATAAGTCACTCGTCTCCTGCGCTGATATTGTGATTATTTTTAATTAAATCGAGTGTGTGAACAATACTGTCGCATTTTAGATGCGATGTCATTAATAAAGCTATGCTAATTCTTGAGCGACCTCGTCACACCTGATTTTAGGATTCTGATCCACTTTTGGTATGTCTCGAACAAAATTTATTATACATCTAAATGTTAATTAAGGCAATGAGGAATAAGATTTGACGAATATTGGCTGTTTTCTTACTAAAATACTGCTTACTTATGACACATTATCTGATCTAGTTTCAGATCCAAAACATAACCAGCGGAGTAAACAACTTATACTGGTTGCGTGAAAATACTATTATTAGCAAATAAATCTATGATAACAACTTCAGGAATTTTTTGATAACAACATAATGAAGCCTGTTTGGAATCTTGTGAGTATTATCACATAATTTATTCATAATTTCGCTCGGAATATTTGAACCCTGAATATGTAATAACTGGAAATTTTTACTACAATTTAATGTTACCTTCATTGTTTGAATTAATTTTGTGTAATTATGATTTGGTACAGTCGTTAGAGGGTTATATATTTTTACAATTAGCATAGCTAAATAGCCTGAGAATTAGGTACAAATATGTTCACAAATCTAAAGTCTAAGAAATGATTACTATTCATTAGTCACATAATGCCTGTTGTAACATCGATACGACCTACCTGCACTTTTGTAAGAAATATTGAACATATTGTTAGAAACATATATTTTTAGTTTATATAGTTTATTCGCAAATAATTCTCTTCCGTTCTACGCCCTTGATTTGAGAACTGACACTAAATGTAAAATTAGAAGCATTAATATGTATTTCTTTACTGACAAGTCATAAGTGTACAATGTGTTACCTATATGATTAAATGATTTAAATTTCATAACACTATGTATAACTAACTTACTCTAAATTTTCTCGCTAAGTGAATGTAATTCTTTGAGAGAATAAAGTATCTTTGAAGTCATCTAACCCCCGATTTAGTTTTATATTTTTCTAATTTTCAGTTATTCTTGGTGACTTTGTGGTCGGCAGTTCAATGTTCACCCTTTGACGATGGAAAGTATAAACCCAAAACATATGACGAGTATGATGATGGGAAATACTATAGGCCGTTAACTGAGGGGAAATATGTTCGTGGAGATGAGGGAAAATACATGTATATCTACCAACAGGGCGTGTTTCCGTACGACGGAACATACAAACATTTGGGAAGGGGCGACTCCAACGACTACATTGGCTTCCAAATATATGCCCCAAGATTCCAATATATTCATAGAATAATTAAAGAGATAATTAGCAAGTATATATCACCAGACATTCTGATGTTTAGTGGATCGGAGTCGGGGCAAGTCAATAACTTGGATAAGGTACAATCACCTCAAGAAGTTGCAATGAAGTGCAATCTTATTGACCCGGAGACTAGAAATAGCATGGAAACGGAAGTTGTGACGCAGTACGTATCTTTTACTGTTTTTAATTGAAATCAATTTGATGTTTTTATATGTTTTTAAGTTCGCTGTGTTGCAATGATTTTTGTGTTCAATATCGTATCTTCTTAATACAGGGTATGGCATTTTAGGAGTAGGTTTTGTATATACTTTACGATAAGTCTTTGGGTCCCGTGAACCTTAAACGATTATTTTTTTCGCCGGGACTCGATCTTAACACTTCCAGGGTTATCAAATGCGTTAACCTAACGGTTCATAACTAACGAGACGGTGGGATTATTACGAATGCGCTAATATTATTAGGTTAAAAATATGCCAAAAATATGCTCAGTTTAAATTATAATAGCTGAAATATTATACAAAGTTATTTTATTTATTGACACAAGGTATAATAATAATATTAACAATACACTTTAAAAGAAAAATATAGATCAATGGCGGCCTTATGGATACTAAATTTTATAAAAAAGACAATAATTGTAAATAAAAAATAATGATGTCGTAATCGTATGACAACTGACTAGCTTTAACTATAATTACACAATTATTATTTAGAACCTGTCTCTGTTCTGGATACTAAACTATTTAATTTAATTTAATTTCTTAAAATATATAATTAGTCGTGATTTTGGACGTATGTATTTTAGTCTAAAATCCAGTATACTTAACCAATATTCGAGTTAACAATGAATCCATGGGTTATGAATGAACAAAAAATTACGCCTGTTGATTTGGTAAGTTCCAACACGAGTTATGTATTTAGTAAACTATGATTTATTATGATTATAATTCTTCAGCCTATGAAGATGTAGCGTCCTTCAATGACCTTTCGATGTTCCGGTTTGAGGTCACCGCCCAAGGTCTTAATATAATATAGTGCAGTTTATGATTCCGGTTATTTTAAATTAATGATTGTAATTTATTGAGATTATGGAAATATAAAGTAGATTTCTATATTATTGAATGTATCTGCTTAGAATTCACTGGTATTCGGTATGGGAAACGGCAAACTCTTCCGCGTAGTGTTTTAGGGTTAAGCTTTCTTGGAACTCTTAAGCAAAAACAAATAAAATCTTTCTCATTTATTTGAAAAGTCACAAAAAACGTATTTACAAAATATAACTTATGTTATAAAGAAGTCTTGTTTTAGGAAATATATATAATATAATATATATGATATAATATATAATAATAAAATATAAATAAAATAAAATAAAGTATAGTATAAATTTATTATTCCTGACGAGGGTGAGACATATCTTTAATTAAATATTGATTTATATATTTCTCGTTTTTAATAATAAAATTACACAATAAACAATATATGTTAGGACTTAATGAAAAATCTTACATATCACATTAATTTTACATGAAACTATTCATTTCACATGGCATAGTTATCAATAAATTTGTGAATAAGAAATAGGAAATAGACTAAACACAGGAAACACAGCAGTCATAAATCTCAGCAAATTAAAATTAATTACACCATATTAATTAATATTTAATCATACAAAAAATATCTGATATATTTAGTGTTTAAAGTTCAGGACTCTCCTATCTGTATATTGACTATTATTGTATTGATAAACTAACCCAATCTAGAGAAAATCGGGAGGAATTTGTGGGTTAAAATTAACAATAACGGAAATCCTAGTTCTATTTAAACGTTAATTATAATATTTCCACGTTAAAAACATTATTCGCAGATGTAATACGTATAGTAAAAATTTAAAGAAATATCAAGTGGTGCTATAAACTTAAGTTGGCCTAAAACTCTACATATATATAACTCTACATATATCTATATATATATGTATGTATGCTCCTTAGATAATTATCCTTTGACAGGTGGATCGACATCTAGGGCATGAATATTAATTTCCAAACGATGATTTTTACCGTATGCGCTAGTAAAAAATAAATAAATCAGTGGCGCTCTTTAGGTCTGGGCATCAGATTTCAGTATCTGTTTCATGATCAATTTTCAATCTAATAGGGAATTAGGTGATCAGCCTACAGTGCCTGACACACGACGTCGAATTTTCGGGTCTAAGACGATTTCCACACGATTTTTTCCTTCACCATTTGAGCGAATGTAAAATGCACAGCAGGGGATCGAACCTACGACCACAGGGATGAGAGTCGCTCGCTGAAGCCACTGAGCCAGCACTGCTCTATCGTATGCGCTAGTAACAACAGTAAATTCTGCGATAGCAAACAGTTGTCAACCTTAAAGTGGAAGTCAGAAGATTCACCACTGAGCCAACATAGCATAGAGGTGTAATAAATTCAACAGAATTTCGGTTTAAAAGAGTTTATATGGATTGAATCCAAGGCTAATTATCGTCATTATAATATTTAATGGGTTGCTATTTAAATTAGGTTTTATAATATATATTATGTTCTGCGCATATTTTTGGTTCTAAATAATTTTAAACTATGATCAATATAATTAAGAATATTAATAGGATGACCAGATTATATGGAATGTACAATTATTAGAATTTCAAATTTTGGAGTAATTAATATAACTTAAATTGAGTTTAGAATATATTTTAAATTTATAAAAAAGATTAAAATGTGAAATACGATGATTTTAGGGCATAATAAAAATACTATTAAAGTTAAGTACATAATAATACATAATATTACAGTCAAAACCGTTTACGACGACATCGTTTAGAACAACACACCTGTTATATTGACCAAAATCAAAGGCCCCGGCTGAATTATATCTACGTATTAGGTACTTAATAACAACGTCATCGGTTACGACTATCGGTTTTTACGACCAAATATTTTTAGTCTCTTCGATGTCGTTATAACAGAGTTTGACTGTATTTATTAATATACAAAGTGAGTTATAGATAACTTGTGGTGTGATAATGCGCTTGGTCCTGGAGGTTGTAGGTTCAAACCCCAAATGTGCATTTACCTATGGAAAAAAAAATCGTGAGGAATTTGGCTTAGGCGCAAAAGTTTGACAGCGTCTGTTAGGCACAGAAGGTTGATCACCTACTGCCTATTTAAAATAAACTATCACGTAACAGAAATCTAAGGCAAAGATCAAGAGGTGTAGCGACACTGGATTTTTTTGATATAGGGCAATCGGGCAGGATGCTTGGTGGTACCGCCACCAATGGACACTTACATTGCCAGTCGACTCGCAAGTGTGTTGCCAGCCTCTACCTTTCTGCGCAATTCTAAAAATATTTATGTAATTTTCAGATATCCTCCATCAATGAAGTTGCAAGAAGGCGAAAACATGGGAACGCTTTACAGCTTTAAGGGAACTAAGTTACTAAGTAAAGAAGAGAATTCGGTAAAGACAAAATTAAAGTTGCATTATGAAGTGTTCGTGAGGGTAGTTGAAGAGGCCGAATGACCACAAATTGTTTAATGGTGATAATATGATGTAATAGGATTATTTTAAATTATAGTAAAGTATTTAAGTATTTTTAAATTTGTTTTATTTAATTCAAGTTATATTAAAATAAAAATCTTCACATACAATTTAATATAATCAGTACATAGCTGTCGATTTTTCGTTTGTATAAACTCGTTAGTCTCAGAAACAATTGGCCTGCGTTGTTCATTAATAAGGGCTTTAGAATATTCACCATTATATTAGGCATTCAAGTGGGTAAAATTTATTTAATTATAGGACAGATAATACCATAAAGTATAAAGCTAAAGAAGTGAGCTTTTTCGTTGAACAAGCTAATCTCAAAAACAACTTAACTGTTTTTGGAAACTGAAAGAAAAAGGTTTAGATATAACATTTTTAATGCCAAGGTACCATCGTTATGAGAGGTGAAATGTCCACTTTATTTATTATTATTATTTAATTTAAATACCATAATTAACTACGTTAACATGTGATAAGGAGCATGATGTAATGGTTGCAGGTGCTTACAAACTTTTTGTAAGAAAACCTTGGCGATTTAAAAGAGTGACAGAGAGTTCATTGCCAGTTCTTCTGGTTTACACCCTTGATTTTAGAACCTAAATTTAGAACAATTATTTTTTTAAATCACTGCCACTCTTTTTAATCGCCAAGTTTTTTGTTTTACACAATTTTTTTAAAGATCAACCATAACACCATGGTCCACATGATATCTTAAGTAATCAATAGTTAATTAATCATAATAAAATAAATTAAAAACAAATATTTGTCCTCTATAAGTGGGAGGCATGGTGAAATAGGAGCACGCACTTCCATAAGTGCACATTAAGTTACATATAATACTTGATATGTTGATTTGTTCATTAGCATTTCCGTAATATGACGCGGGTAAATCGGCGGGACTGGTGACTTATATAACATAAAAGTTTTTATTTATCTCTTCCATTATAATATTTATTCATTTGTTCTTATGTGAAGCATTTGAATCTCCGTGACTCTATCTTCTATCTCTTTTCATATGTTGTGTGGCTATGTTAATGTAAGTAAATAAATATACTTAACATGGACTAGACGGGAGTAGTACAAAACTATATAACAAAAATATGTGGTGTTTATTGAAGTTATACTTCTTTAGGCGCGTTATGAATAATTTACGAGAGTGAAATTTTACGATGCGCGCGCAGTGTGACACAAAATTAACAGAATGAAGTTGCCCACGGAAGATGCTACGGTATTGGACACAATTAAAAAAACAACATTCGAATAATAATAGAATTTATGTTACACTTAATGTAAGAGAATAATAATAAATATTTATTTATTTAATTTTTCAAATGTAAACTGAACTTTGTTGACTATAATGACTCCCTTTCCAGTCTTTGATTATTTAATTGTAATTAATTATTTGCATGCAATCAAAAACTATTTTTAATAATGTCAAAGAAGATCTACTAAGATCTGTGTCTTTAGTGATAGAGTGGACTCAATTCTTGAGCCTGGACTAATAATGATTATATTAAGAAAAATTTAAGATCTCATGATAATTTTTCATCGTCCAGAAAATAATTTAAACATTTATATATTGCTAATTAATTTACGGGCTTCAATTTTGTAAAACATTGAATGTTTTTTGCAAGAATTATTATTTTACTTTTACGAATGTCTTAAATAACATTTTATTCTTACAAATATAAACATTTATTCATCACGACACTTAGGAATAAAAATATGGTAATTGTATTATTGTTGTAATTATCTTGCAGGTGAATTTTATTCGAATATATAGAAATTATTTAAAATGCAAGAAGTAAAGATGGTACCTTACCATTCCTAATAAGACACACACTTCTTCATAACACATGGATGGACCTAATCTTGTACATTCTTCATAGACGCGTTTCTTCTAATATTTGATTGAGTTTTACATCTATCTGGATTTAGCTTTCAGAACTGAACGTACTAGTTTAAAATACACAAACATTTAATACTTCATCAAAAATTATTATTATAATGAAATAATTGAATATAATTTTAATTCATAAATATTCCAAGATGCATGGCCTGCTGCTTGAGTGGAGCTCACAAACTGTCCTTTGTCATCAGTCAACATTTTCGTGTATAAATTCGCTGCTGAACTGAATATGTTTGTGACAGTTTGGGAAAGAATTGAGGATGAAAATAATATTTAAAGAAAAAACTGTTTGACCGGATTGAAGTTATGTATTATTATAAATTTACAACTATTTAACATAATTTTAAATTTATCCGACGTTTCGCGTGCTTTACAGCGTGCGTGGTCACCACGTTGTATACGTAAATTTATAATACGTAGAACCTCGTTAAGTCGAACCTCGATAAGTCAAAAACCTCCAAATCTCGAAAAAATGTTTTGTTCCCTTCCCTTAAAACACCAAAATCTCCATTACTTGAAATCTTGACCCTCTGTTAATCGAAATAATCACCGAGTCCCTCCAAGCCATTTTGGTACATATTTTCACTCTATAACTCGAAAAATTAAATTTGACCTCTGTATCTCGAACATAGGAACGTTTTATTTTACAACCTTTACAACTTGATCATTTGGAATTTATTATCTCTATTGTTCGAAAAAAAATAAGTTACCGACTTTAAGAACTTGCCGACAATGTGATTACACTATTGTTTCTTAGAAAACATTTTAGGAGTATACAATAATAAATTTATGACTCATGGAAACACGTGTTTGCTTGCTTTGTGTCAGGTGTTCAATTTTGATTCCCTTTGAAATTTAGCTAAGCCAGTCATTTGTTTTCAACTTAAATACTGTCAGAAGTAGTTTGGTTCTCTCTAACTCAAAATTTATAAGAATAAACCTCAAACTCTTTATGTCGAATCAAAATCCGCCTAAGTCGAAATCCTCCATAAGTTGAAAACTCTATAACTCGAATTTTTGGCGTCTCCCTTGATGTTCGACTTATAGAGGTCCTACGTAGAACCTTGTTAAGTCGAACCTCGATAAGTCAAAAACCTCCAAATCTCGAAAAAATGTTTTGTTCCCTTCCCTTAAAACACCAAAACCTCCATTACTTGAAATCTTGACCCTCTGTTAATCGAAATAATCACCGAGTCCCTCCAAGACATTTTGGTACATATTGTTACGAAGACGGGTCGACTGCAATGTTTTTAGATTTTTCCACTACTTAGAGAACTTTTCAGCAGGCTGAAATGTGATTTCTGACCGTTTCAGGGGAGGGTCAATCACATATTAGAAAATCGCAATTTACATAATGTTACCCTAGTTTTCAGGAGCCTGAAACATTTTTTCAGGCCGTTTCAGAACACGTGTAGTCGAATGGTACACTTTTCAGGAAACCCGTTTTCAGGCGTTTTCAGGCCTGGTTATACCCCTTTGACGAAGGAATGTTCTAGAACGAATTTTCTAGGTGTGGGACAAGGACGGAACGATACGCGAGAGAGAAGGAAGATCGGAACCTTCTCGAAGCTAGACCGAGCACTCTAGAACGCCGTACGACAAGGACGGAGCAATGTGCGAAAGAGATAGCTAGTACGCACGTTCTAGAATTGTGCGATCGCTACTCAGTTGCACTGCCGCCTAGAGAGTTCTCGAACATCGCTCCCAGGGATATATAAGCGAGCCGAAACGCGACCGATTAGTTCAGTTTTGAATGCGATACCAAGCGATAAACACCGGAGTGACAAAGTGCGAATAAAGTGAATACAAGTACTGTGTGAAGTGCGTGTAATTAGAGTAATAAGTGACAGTATTTTGTGTGTGTATTTAGTGAATTTTTGTGCGTAATTTCCAGTTTTTAGTGTTAACAAATTCCTCGTAGATTTAATTGAAAATAAACCCTTGAAGAGATTTACGGCGTTTCTATCCGATCCCCTAGCTCGTAACATTTTGGTGTCAGAAGTGGGATAGAAAAATGCCAATTACTCCGAGGGAGAATCAAGAGGAGTTTGTGGCCGAGTCTCCAGCTGCGGAGGGAGTGCAGACAAGGGCACAATCAGCACGTGACGCCGCCCGGCGACAAAGTTTCGATGCGAACCGCGGGATGGGCGAAAGCAACGATAGCAACATCCTCCTTGCCCTGCGCCAAATGATGGAAGAACAGGCTCAGACACGTCGTATGATGGATGAACAGGCACGACAAATGATGGAAGAACAGGCACGACGTCAAGAGGAACAGGCCCGTCATCAGGAGGAACAGGTTCGGCGATTGATGGAGGAACAGGCTCGCCGTCAAGAGGAACAGGCACGCCAAATCGTGGAAGAGCAGGCTCAGACACGTCGTTTGATGGAGGAACAGGCTTGCCGTATCGGAGAAAGATTAGGAGACCTAAAACAAGAAGTAGATAAAAAAATCGAGAACTTGGAATCTGATATGGACTGCAAATTTTCGAAACAGGACAAACGTATTCTCGGATTAGAACAAGAGATGCAGTGCCTGAAGACCAAAGGTGTCGTAACGACTGTAGCACCATCTGGAAATCTGAAAGTACCTCCCTTTGACGGTACATCTTCCTGGGGCGCGTACAAAATACAGTTTGAGACTGTGGCAGAGTCAAACGGGTGGAATGACGATCAGGCTGTCACCGCCCTTATTATGGGACTGCGAGATGAAGCCCTCACCATATTAGATACAAAGACAGGTAAAGTGACGTTGAAGCAACTGCTGGATGCCCTAGAATCACGGTACGGAGACGCACATTTAGAGCACGTCTATAGGGCTCAATTAAAGGATAGAATACAGCAGACAAATGAAAGTTTGCAAAAATGGGGATTTGAAATAGAGAAGCTGGTTAGGAAAGCCTATGCATCCTCACCAGACGTTGCAGACAAGATGTTGGTTCAAGCCTTCGTCGACGGTATTCGAGACCGTGAAATTCGAATGGCTGTGAACCTAGGTCACCATAAGGACCTCAAGAATGCTCTCGCTCATGCGTTGGAAGTGGAAGCATTTTGCAAGGATTCTCGA